TTCTCTTGTAGAAAGCCTAATGGATAAATAAGCAGCAGGAAATCAATGATATCAGTTGTGCTGGTAAAGCTACATTACTTGCAGACCCCAAAGCAGACTTGCTGAACAGGAAGAGAGGCTTGGTGCCAAATGATTTCCTCAAGTTTGATGTTGCACATATAGTCGGTTAATATAATCTGCAATAATTATCACTATTTCAGGAGATTTTTTTTTAATATGTTTAAAAAAATTTTAATACCTTGATATCCGTAGTAAAAATGGTCGATCAGTTCATCACTTCCACTAAATGTGACATGAACATTTCAGTTGTTAAAGCTTTGAGCTACAATAGACATGCTATGAAACATTTGGAAATCTGCTTTGCTGGTTAAAAATGGAACAAGACTTCTTCCAAGCAATATTTATATCTGTATTGCTCTGATAGCAATGCATTGATGCTGACAAAACAATTGGAAAAGAAGCTAATTGGTAAGTATATAAGGATGCTGCATGTTGCATTGAATCTATCCTGGTAAATATCTACAGAAAACATTTCAATGATGATGAGAAATGGCACCTTACAGAGACAGCATCTCAATGGCAATGAGAAACAGAAATAGCACCTTACAGAAAATGCATCTCAATTGTGATGAGAAATGGCACCTTACAGAAAAAGCATCTCAATTGTGATGAGAAATGGCACCTTACAGAAAAAGCATCTCAATTGTTACGAGAAATGTCACCTTACAGAAAAAGCATCTCAGTTGTGACGAGAAATGTCACCTTACAGAAAAAGCATCTCAATCGTGACGAGAATCGGTACCTTACAGAGAAATAGCTCTATGGCCATGGGAAACAGTACCCTACAGAAAACAACCCCATGGTCATCTGCCTCTCATCTTACAAGTCAATTAGAGATAAGATTATGGGGCATTTCTGGAGAAGGCTGTGCTTGTTGTTTTGTTGTGGACACCAAAATATGGACACAACTTCATTGGTCAATCATTCAAAACCACCACCATGAAGGATTAAGACTTGTTTTAGGGGGCATTTTGCACATCCCCAGTGGAGAGCCTTTATTCTGAACCCTACGAACCACCACTAAAACTTAGATTCAAGAAATTAGGTATGCAGTACTACAGTAAAATTAAATCGCAACCAACCAACCAATCGAGCTTATAACTGCATTTTCAACCTCAAACACCAAAAACTATTTGATCAAAAAGTAAAGGCCATAAAACCTTTTTGTCTCCATATGAAACCCATAGTGGAAGACATGGATATTCAATCACAAGCATCCATGATACCGTTCAACTAAGCTTACCACCCTGGCTACTTAAGCAGCCTGTGATTATTTTTGATTTAAACAAACTCCCTCAAAATAAAACCCACCCATTAACTTACCAAGAAAAACTCTTTAATATTCAGGGAAAATACCCAAACTACTCGCACATTTACACAGATGGCTCCAAAGATAGCAACAGAACTGGATGTGGAGCAGTTTTCAATAAGGAAATGATGAAAAAATACCTCCCAAAGGAAGCCTCCATATTTACTGCAAAAATCTATGCAATAAAACTAGCACTTAAGATTGTTTGTGCAAGCAACTTAAAAAAAATTCATCATCCATACTGACTCCATCTCTGACCTACAATCTATAAAAAATACAAAACTGGATAACCCTTCAATTGTCAAACTTTTAAACAAAATCAACTCCATAAGACATAAAAAGGTGATATTTTGCTGGATTCCAAGTCATATTGGATTTCAGGGAAATGAGAAAGCCGATTCCTTAACAAAAGCTGCACTTAAGATGACATCCAACCAGAACTCCAAAATCCTATATACGGACCTAAAACATAAAATCAAGAAAATAATGATGCAACAATGGCAACAACTATGGGACTGTTATGATGTTGATTTGGGGTTAGTAGAGACAAACGCCAAATAACACGTAACAATAAAAAGGGTTTTAAGAGGTTGGTAAATAGGTACAGAAATCGCCTGAGTAGTCAATAACTAGCTCAGCTAAGAACTTCTCCGACTTTGACTGTCTTTTGACATGCCACTATTTAACATCTTTGCTCGCAGACAAGTTCATCTTCAAGAGGGGTGGTAGGTTTCCGACACAACAGGGACAAAAATACCCACAATAAGCTCTACCAAATAGAACCCATTTTAAAAGAAAGGAAACTGAATCTTAATAATACAAGAAGAGAAGAAACCACCCTTACTCGGCTACGCATTGGACACACTAGACTGACTCACTCCTTCATACTAGAAGGAGAGCCTCCTCCTAAATTTCCCTGTGGAAATCAATACACAGTAAAACATATACTGAGAGAATGCACAAACCTTACACACATTCAAAGAAAGTTCTTACAACATTGAGTACAAAGGAACTATTTACAAAAATTGATCCAAGTCATATAATAAACTTTCTGAAAAGAATTGGTCTTTTATCAAAGATGTAGTCTGATGTGTAATTAATATCTGCTACCTTTTTAACATTGTGTAAACAAATTGTCTATACTAAATGGAAATCCTTGTCCTAGACAGTAATACCTGGAATTATTTTGCAGTGTGCAAGCAAATAAGCTCTAGCTGATCTCGCTTATAGATGTTTACAAGTCATATATATTTAATTATATATATATATATATAAAAACTAAATTTGGCATTAAATGACCTACAGTGGTTGATATACCATAAAACCCAACCAACCAATCAACCATTCAAAACCTACATTCAACAAATATGTGAAGACACAGGATGCTAAGCTAACAAATCTACCAGATATGATGCATAATCGTGAAGACTGGAGAGAAAGTGTTTGCAATCGGAACAACTTGATTGTAAATATATACATCTATTTATATATACACACAGGGTTAATTTGTGTCACTTGTTTATTGCTAAATTTTTTTTTATTCGGTTTCCGGTTCCTTCTAAAGTCTACCTCAACTCTATACTTCTAATGCCTCCATCTGAACTCTGAAATTTTATTCGCTAATTAAATCTTGATCTTGAATTAGCTTTCTATCTTTCCTGTTATCTTGCCCTTTCTTATGCTAATACAACTCCACACTGTAACCCTCTACTTTGAGTGGCCCTTGGGTCTTTTATTAGGTGAACATTAGTTAAAAAAAATCAACAGTTTAATTCCTGACAGCTTTTGATAATCTCTATTTATGGTGACACATCCAATTGTGCTTAGGAAATGATTACTGACTAAAAGCCATCACCTTTTACTATGTTTAAAAGACAGGTCATCTATGAGATTTTTAAAAGTGGATTATAGTTTATACAAAAGGACATCTGTTGATTAGCTCTATACAAACTGGATGTTTTTTTGTTTTTTTTTCTGACAATTATTTCTTTATTTACACTATTAGTACTTGAGCTTATTTTGTTGTTGCTATCACAACGTTTCCATTGTGCTCACTGGCCTTCCTCAGGTGTATAGTGATCTGGATAACCTACAGGGAATTCTCAACTGAACCCTTTATTTAATCTATGGGTGTAGAATCTTCTCATTCCATTGCTGATGTCTAGAGATATTATCTAGTTCTTATTTTGTACTGTTCCACTAAATAAAAATTAAAAATTAGATGATATCCCAAGATATGGGTAGTAGAACAAGAACAGTATACCTCTGTAGATTAAATAAAGGGTCCAGTTCAGAATTCCCTGTACATTACCCAGATCAATACATACCTGAGGAAAGCCAATAGGGAATGATTGCAAAATACTTTCCCCTCCCCAATTTATAGGCAAAAACACACAAATGCATGATGGGATTTCGTCCTAGTCAATAAAATAGGCCAGTTCTTGGTTTAATCTGACTCGGTCCCAATCTGTCTTGTCTTGAAGTCAGAACACGACTTCCACTTATCCGAATTTGCTTTGGTTTTCCTGAGGTATATACTGACCTGGGTAACTTTAACTAAACACTTTATTTAATCTACAGGGGTACACTGTTCTCATTTCACTGCCCATGTCTAAGGATATTGTTTAGTTTATAGTATTGCTCAGTTATTTCTCACCTGTTTCACTGAGTCTACCTACACACTTCCTGATCCAGGGATTGAACTCATCATCACTATATCACTGTGGGGAAAATTGTGAAAATGGCCTACCTCGGAAACGCGTTCGAATCTGCGCAGTATGTAAACTCTGGTCCTTCCAACTGTAAAAAAGAAAACCAAAAATGGCGGCGCCTGCGTTTTTATGCCGAGCGGTCTCGGTCAGTTAACGTGAAATCTCGTTGCCTCGTGATTCGCATGCAAATCGTGGTCGGTCTGCAGCTGTATAAAAGCAGGCTCGTTTCTGCTGTTTCAAATGAGAGGGTTTTCGCTCGTGAGAAGGTTGGACGTGCGACACCGGTTTTCTTTGTGCCTACCTGCTATCATCAGTTGAATTGTTGAGTTACACACCACAAGCTATTTCGGCAATGGACAAGTTCGATCTAAAGTTGATCCCAGAATTGACGGCTCCCCCACGGGCCCGACTATCGTCGAATGGTTTGAAAAGGGCGAACGTGTTTGCAGGGTGTCCAAAATAAAGGAACCTGCACTAGTCATCCCACTGAGACTCACGGGAGGAGCCTACGCGAGTATATCAACAACTTCGGGGACGATGCTGACCTAGAAGAGATCAAGGACGCCCTGTATACTGCCTTTGGAATAGATCCATTCATCGCTTGGAAACAGTTCGTCGGACGATGGCTCGAGCGGGTGAGACTGTGGATGTTTACCTGGCTGATTTGCGAAGGCTGGCAGTACCGTTACGGAACAACGGACCGCATACTGGGGTGCGCCTTCCTGGCAGGGCTTCCCAGCGACACCAGTCGGCTCCTGCGGCGTCTTCAAGATTGGACACACTGGGAATTGACGAATTGCTAGCCAGGGCCCGAAACATCTTGAAGGACACTGAACAGATCGCGTCAGCCGTGAGAACGCCTGAGACACCGAGGAGGGCCCAAAGTGCTACAAGTGCGGTGGACCCAACCATTTCTCTAGGGACTGCGGAGCGAAGTGACGTAGGAGGGAGCAGCAGACGGAACCGAGCACGATTACGCTGCTATCGCTGCAAAGAGTTAGGCCATGTAGCACAGGATTGCTCGAACGAGTCCGGGGACAAGGTGCTGTCGCAACCCTTGCCCCTCTCGGTCAGTAAATGCGGCATTGCCTGTTGTCAACGCGTGTACGTTGAGGGTAAACGATGTTCGGCGCTTTGTTGACACTGGATGTTCCCGATTGATCGTTAGTGCGGATCGACGCGTGACATGGAACAGTCAACTAATCGAGATTCGGACGATTGATGGGGTGTCCCGGGCCTGTTGTGGTGTCGGGACTGTGTCAGTCCTAACAGACGGAGGGAGTCATGCCAAAGTCGACGTCTTGGTGGCACGTCAAAGGCCCCTCGGTAACGACCTGCTACTTGGGATTGATGCGATCCGAGCGTTAGGAGGCATGATGATCACGCCAGCGGAAATGTGGAACTGGGTGAAAGAAGAAAGGTGTGTGCAGCCCTTTTGCGTTAGTGAGCGGATTTCGGCGTCTCCTTCAATTCCGGCGAGAGTGTAGACCGCCAGGTGGAAATGGGCCCAAAAAGACCCGCCAGTTCAACCGCAACAAGGTCGCTGAGTACAAAGTTCCAGACAGCATCAGAGGAAAATACGAGAAAGAGCTTCAGCAGTGGATTGTGAGCGGCTGGCTGATTCCGTACCCCAGGAAAGACTGGGACCCCAAAGGGTCTGATTCCTTGATGGCAGTCGTGCAGGAGCAGAAACAGAAGGTGCGTCAGTACTCGATTACCGCGAATTGAGCGACTTTGTGGATGCTTTCACTGCCGATGCAGAAGTGTGCGCACATAAGTTGAGAACGTGGCGGCGGCAGGGAGTCAATGTGTCGCTTCTGGATCTGCGGAACGCATATCTTCAGATTCACATCGACGAAGCGCTGGCCATTTCAAGCGGTTATTTTCAAAGGCCAACGCTTCTGTCTTACTGTGACTAGGATTTGGGCTAAATGTAGCGCCACTCATCATGAAATCCGTTATAGACGCCATCGCATCGCAAGACCGCACAATTGAAAGTGCCACATCAGCATACGTTGATGATATCTTCATTAATGAAAGTTTGGCCTCTGCATCGCGTGTAAGACAACACTTTTTCGGATTACGGTTTGGTGTGCAAGGATCCGGTGCGGCTGAGAGATGGAGCAAGAGTTCTTGGCTTGCAGGTCTGGGAAGAAAATGGCACCCTCCGATGGAAACGAGGAAGTCAAATTCGGAAGCCCCTGATGTGTTGACCCGGTAGCGTATTTTTCGTTGTGTGGGAAACTTGTTGGACACTTCCCAGTGTGTGGATGGCTCAGGTGGCAGTTGCATTCGTCAAAGCGCCTGGCAACCGCAGCAACCAATGGATGGGATGATAACATCAAAGATCCCCTCTCTGTCGCATACTAGCAGAGATGTTAAGTAGAGTGCGGGAACTGGATCCCGTCGGAGGAGACTGGTGCATGAGTGGTGACGAGATCACAGTCTGGGTGGATGCGAGTTCCGTGGCGACAGGAGTGGCATTGGAAGTAAACGGAAATGTCGCCGAAGATGCGTGCTGGCTGCGTCCGACTAATGATGCCAGGCACATTAATTTGGCTGAACTCGTCGCGGCGCTTAAAGGAGTGAATCTGGCTCTCCAGTGGGGAGGCGACAACGTTGCACTTGGTCACTGATTCGGTGTGTGTGCACCGGTGGATTTCAGACACCTTGACCGGAAGGCACGGGTGAACACAAGGGCGGCTGGTGAGATGCTGGTCAGGCGACGGCTGGGCATTTTGCGATCGTTGGTGGACGAATATGGATTGACCGTAGGCGTGACACTCGTGCAGTCCTGTCAGAACCGTGCAGATCGCCTCACCAGAGTACCGCACAGGTGGCTAGAACTGCTCAAGAGAGGAGAACCGCACTCGAGAGCTGTGCAGTGGCAGGGAGACGACTGGATGAGGACCAGGTTGCCAATACGCATCGTCACGCGGACATCCGGGCGTGAAACGAACTCTGTGCCGCCAGGTTAGTCGACCCGCAGGTGTCCAGAGAAAGCGTTAAATCCGTTGTGAAGGCCTGCACAACCTGTCAGTCGATCGATCCGGCACCCGTTCACTGGGAAAGAGGAGAACTGGCGTGAAGAGCAACTGGAGCAGACTGGCAATGGACATAACTCACTACAATGGTGAGAATTTTTAACACTCATTGATTGCGGTCCCTCCAGGTTTTGCGGTATGGCGGCCGCTGCGCAGACAAGACGCGAGCACCGTCATTCGACTGTTGGAGAATGTTTTCCTGGAGCGAGGCCCACCCATGGAAATACTGACGGATAATGATACCGCGTTCACCAGTAAAGATTTTAAAGAATTTGCGGACACTTGAGGCGTGCATCTGCGCGGCATTTGGGCGGAACCACAGAACCATCAAGACCATCGCGCCCACAGTGGAAACTGGTATAATGTAAGCGAAGGATAACATTTCACCATGGGAGCGGAACCACAGAACCATCAGCCCTGCCTGAATCTGACTGGAGAGTTGATCGGGGTGCCTCGACAGCGGCATTAAAGACTTATCAGCCCGCAATCTGTGAGGTTGACGTCACATTAAAATCACCGCTAATCACTACGCTTCGAGCGGCGAAAGCGATTCGAGTCTGGGAGTAGTGAGCGTTCAATCTGCCTTGAGTTAGACCTGCAGGGCAGCGATTCTGATAACAGCAGCCTCCCGGCGGTTACAGTGTTTACCGACACTCAAACCACAGGCGAGAACACGCACGAGGATGAAGCTTGTGTTATCCCCTTCGGAGAGGGACTTGACGGCGACGATCGCCACCTCCCTGCCCTGTTTGTGATCATGAGATCAGGGGAGTGTGGGGAAAATTGTGAAAATGGCCTACCTCGAAACGCGTTGAATCTGCGCAGTATGTAAACTCTGGTCCTTCCAACTGTAAAAAAGAAAACCAAAATGGCGGCGCCGCGTTTTTATGCCGAGCGGTCTCGGTCAGTTAACGTGAAATCTCGTTGCCTCGTGATTCGCATGCAAATCGTGGTCGGTCTGCAGCTGTATAAAGCAGGCTCATTTCTGCTGTTTCAAATGAGAGGGTTTTCGGCTCGTGAGAAGGTTGGACGTGCGACACTGGTTTTCTTTGTGCCTACCTGCTATCATCAGTTGAATTGTTGAGTTACACACCACAATCACCAAATTCACCAATGCTTTAATCCACTAGGCCACTGTCTCATACTATAAATAAGAGCTAGACAATATCCTTAGACATGGACAATGGAATGAGAACAGCCTATCCCCATAGATTAAATGAAGGGTTCAGTTGAATTTACCCAGATCAATATATAACCGTGGATGGCTGGAGGGACACAATGACTGAAACAACAACAAAGATGAGGACAATGTAAATAATGATATCTCTCCTCATCCCAGAAATTCAGGCAGAAAATAGATCTATATCTCTGTAGAACATTAATTTTGTAATGACAAGGGTTAAGTATATATCAATCTGAACCCAGAAGCTTGATTTGTGTCTTGTTTCAGTTAATCCAATATAGTGCAATCTCTTTCTAAACTCAAATTCTTTCAAAGCCCAAAACCAGTTTTCAGTTGCAGCTGTAATAATATTATTGATAAGAAAATACAAACTTAAGCAAACATATGACAAGTACTGTGGGTAGTAGTCTGCAATTTCACAAATATTACCTTCACTCTTTAGTATGTTACGCTAGAATACAACAGATATACACACATACGTTGTAAATACTATAATATACCAAATTATGATTCATTCATTCATTCATTTTCTTTGGCTTATCAGCCCCTTGCAAGTTATTTAAAGCCAGAAAATGTTTTTAGATTGTAAGATTTTTTTTTTTTTTTTGAGATAATAATGGTTTAGTGATACAAATCTTTTTAATTAGCCCAAAGCTGGGGGGAAGAAAAGGTGGATTCATACCTTTCCCAAGGGTATTTGTGTATAAGTGAATATAATGAACCCAACTGGAATTGGAACTCTGTTCTCCAATTAACAATTTTGAGCCATTTACATCATCTGCACATACAAACTTACAGCATTTGGTAATCCCAAAAAGTCACCCACCTAGGTACAGGTGTACAGGAACTGATGTTTTTAATATGATGTGGTCATAAGCCTTTTTACAAATATTGCCTTCAGAGGGTAATTATAGAATGCAAAGGATATATACACAGTAGATACTATAAAATACCAAATATCAAGGCACTATTTCAAAAAGTGCCTGTTTCTCAAGGCTTCCTGAGGGAAATAGGTCTTCTTAAACTCTTGTAGATGCAACACAAAAAACACAACACAAAATATTTGTTTATCAATACAAAGTATTCATGTATCAAAAAATCTGTCTACAAAGCAGTTGCAGAATAAAATACAAAAGATTAAAATTACTTACCGTGAAAAACTACTTAATTCAATGACCCATAAGGTTGATGTGCCAGTAAACAGTGCCTTACCAGTGTAGTAAGATAACTTGATATTTTTCTTGCTACTTTAATATATATATTCTAAAAGGTTGACAGAAACATCCTCTATCCTACAGAAATAAAGTTTATTAATTTTGTAATAAAAACCGGATGGGCACTGGATTTATTGGGATTTGAAACAAAAAGTTATTTTTTTTTTTTATTTAATATTTCCTAGGCTTTGCATGGCACAAGATCAAATTGAAAGCAATATGATTACGAAGAGTGTAGAGACAGCTTGCCATGAAAATCTTGGTTTTCAACTGGGCTCAAACATTATGGGGGAACATATGTAACTATCTCAGCTATTGAGTAAACCCAATATACGCCTATTTAATGTTATTTAGAAAATAAATAAATACGTAAAACCTGCTGCTACCTTATTTATTTCATAGATGTGAACACTAATAATAAAAAGAAGTAGAAGTTATTCAATAAGTAATCAATATTTGATCTATATACACAAGGAAAAAACAGCAAGTTATTTCAATGTATTTATTTGCAGTTAATTTAAGCATACTACTAGTTTGGAAACTAGATCTCACTGTTTTATTGTTGAACTAGCTCAATGCAAACACATGTTCTATTTTAATAGTTGCTTTTCTTGCACTTCTCACCTGTGAAGCTCTCTTTCAATTTCTTGATTCTTGGCTACCTATAATCTAAATAAATTTAAATGTAACACCAATTGCTGTCGTCTGGAATCCTCTTCTTTTTTTTTTTTGTCCTTTCTCCTCACTAAAGTCTTCTTATTCTATTTCACTTCTAGTAATCCCTTACATCTTAGTGGCATTATTGCCTTGCCTGAGGTGAAATAATTAAAAAAAGAGAAAAGAAAAAATATGTAGTATATTAAACAAAGAAAAAAATATAAAATATGTCAGTAATAAACTAGGTATGTTTTGATCTTTCAAGAAAAGACATTACAATAAATATAGATATATAAATATATTTTATAAAATATGAAACAAAAGGTATTTTATGTATTATATATCAAAGTGAGATTGTATGAAATTAAAGATTGTTTTTTATTGTTACTGCAAACAAAATAGGTTATAAAAGAAACATTTGTTAAATATAACATGTACAAATAACTTTTGTTCTCTTTGTTTTTAAAACTGTTTAATCAGGATATTAAAATTTCCTAACTTCAAATCTATGACTGTTCAACATTTTTCGGTGTTATTATAAGGTTATTATTATTTGAATGTAAATGAATGGAATTTGATCTTTTTTTTAAAAAATGTATTGCAAATTTTTGAATATAATAATAATAGTTTTTATGATTTAGTTATAAAATCCTTTTCAAAAGAACAAATGTTTCAATTAAAAACACTGTCATTTGCTTCAATCACATTTCAAATTATCTAAACAATAAAATTTGTGTCTCTGACAGATGCAAGTTGACAAAATTAACTCATAACTTAGCACACTTAATTCATAACAAGTTAATTATTAACTGGAGCTTATCTTGTGCACAAGACCACAAAGTAGGGAACATCTAGTAAAGATTGAACTTATGATTTGGTAATGATCTACAAGATTTTGTTAACCATTATAGAAAATACCAAAATAAATATGTAGGACTCAGATACTAAATAAATCGGTTTTAGTGTTCTTCTTCAATTTGGTATTATTCATAATAATATATAAGATTATATTTTATTAATTTTAGGAGTATATTCAATTTTCTTTTCTGGTTTATTTTAATTATTTTATTTAAATTGTAATGGAGCAGTGGTACTAATGGAGTCATATTAGTACATGAACTATTATTTGGTAATTTTGAAGTATTGAGAGACTTAGTAATCCTAAATGAAGGAGTAGAGATATTAGATTGTAAAAAAATATGGGAGAGTGATTAATTAGCTGACGAGAAAAAAGTTTTTTCTAAAAAAACATTAATTTGAACCTATAAAATACTTGTAAGGAATTTTAAGCAAAAATAAACCAAGTATGATTGAGTATAGCTGAAATTGCCAACCTAGACACACAACCCTGAAGAATTTGTGATGATGCAATTAATGTGTTTACCGAAACTTTACAAAATCCATGCAGAATCATCAAATATTATTTTAAAAACCCATCCAGCAAACCTATATAGAAAGATTGCTGAAATGTCTGGTCTTGACTACTTTAAAATCATGGGTCACGTGCATCACTAATAGGAAGTTCTTTGTTTAACAAAGAAGGTCTTTGTTTGGGTGACTAATTAGTCAGTCCCTGTTCGGAGTGTTATTATACACATCATTTTACTCGGTACATACTTGGCAGCCAGGGACAACAATGCTATTTTCATCAAATTTCTAGCAGCAGCAAAGTTGCCAACTCTCTTGCATTTCATCAATTAGATATCTCTTAATTCCTGAAAGGAAGAAAAGAATATACTGAAGTTGAACTGCAAGAGTGTGATGGCTGCAGCTTTTATGTATTCACATTAATAAATTGTTGATAGATTTGTTCTTTCTGCTAGGATTTCTCACCTTTTACACAGGTCACCAAGATTAAGAAAGTCACTAGGATCAAAACCTCACCAGAACCACAAAACCAAAATCCACAGTCTATCGGAGTGAATACATAGAATAGGGAGTGTTACATAGTTCATAATGATAGGTACACAACGTAAAGGAAAAGTTCTATTAGCCGACATAGGTTTGGTGAGGGAGATGAACTAAAGAAATATATCCATGCCCAGTTCACACATCCTTCATTAAACTGTAATACTGGGATTTCTGATTACCTGATAAAGTTTACATTAAACATACAGGGATTTGACTACACCTTATATTTGGTGCTGTGAAGGGACAAAATACTCTTGTGTTATAAAATAGCAAAGTACTACTAATAATAATATTTTGATTCTGTCTTTAATACATGGAATCAAGTGTGGATTGAACATATAAATTGATTGATTACTGATTCATCTCTCATAATTAATTCACAATGATTAATGAAGTTGTTGAATGGAACCCAAAGCAGCTTCATATCTTACAATTGATACGATGTGACCAAATGATATAATGTTTACTGTTGTTGCCGTAGTAGTAGTAGTAGTAATGATGATGTGCACTGTTATTTTTTTTTGTTTGTTTTTAGCATCAAGTAGATTTAGCTGAGCTTTGCAATTCTCAAGTTTAAGCTTTATTTCATGTTTAAAATATAACCCTAGTAAACATTAGAAATTTCAGTTTTCTGTAAGCTATATTAAAAAAAAAAAATCTGAGTCACACTTTAAAAATGCATAATGTTTAAAATATGCTTAATTTATGAACTAATCTAAGTGTGATGACGATGATAAAAAACGGAAATGTCTAAAGTCGAAAATGCATTTTAAAAAATTAAAAATCTTCCTTGAAGCTTTAATTTTAGTTTTAATTCCAAGTTAATAGATTTAATTTGATATTTCTAATAAGCAAAATGCTTTGGTGTATTTCAAACCGGATTTAAATTGATCGGAATCTTTTTTTTTTTCTTTTTCTATTTACCAATAAAATTGATGAATTCATCCATATTGATAAATCTGCTTCCACAGCATAATTCTCTTTATTAAAAAAATCTTTAAAAAATAAAGTGTACTTTTTGAAACTTTATTTGATAAAAATTAACTGATTTAAAGTTTAATTAATCTGAATTAAAACAAATATTACTTTTAGTTTCAAATATTGCAGAAAAGCATCTTTTTAAGACAAAGATGTTTTTTGATGTTTTGGATGATTTATTGATGGTATGATGTTTGGGAATTTAGCTAAGGGGGACAATAACTAGAAAAATTACTTGATGAATATAATACCATTTGTTTTATATATTTTTTTTAACTATCCAGTAATCTTAAAAATTTTAAAAATTTTAAGCATTTTAATATTTTTTTGAACTTTTGATACCTTAATAATTTAATTCATTTTTGAATAAGTCCTGAAAGTTTCAAAATCCAACAACTGCAAAGAAGCTTGTTGAGAAAATGTTAGAATATTACTAATACAGGTACCTCTCTTATTTTCTGATAATGTCATGTATGGATGGCTGTATTTCTAAAAATTGGCACATTTATACAGACAAAAAAAAATTCAGAATTTTTTCAAAATACTGGGGGTCACTGTATTGTAATAAGCTTTTCCATTTATGATATTACTTATCTTTTTTAATATACTTTTTACTTTTTTTTTCTTTTTTTTTAACAATATCACCTAACCACTACAAATTAATACAAAATTTTAAAAGATTTAAAACTTTCTAAATTATTATAATTAAAATTTAAAAAAATGAAGACAATTCTTGTAAAAATTCATTATTCATCAAAATTTTTTTTTTTCTTAATACAATAGTGTCCACTCCATAATATATTTTAAAGCAATTAAATACTTTTCTAATTAAATAATATCTTAGTTTTATTGCATTTTTATTATACAATTCAGAGCAGATTGTCTGTACCTGGGGTTCCTGTTATACAAAAAAAAAAAATGATTTAAATTCTCAAGGGTGTATCCTTATAACAAATGTGAACATTAAATGATACAAAAAAGAATTTTTTGAAATTTCATAAAATTAAATGAGTGTAACAGATTTTAGAAAAAAATAATCTTACCAAAATTTTCTAAAAAAGAAACCTTTCAGAGATAATTTAATTCATTTCTGAATAAGTCCTGAAAGTTTCATTAAAATCCAAGAAATATTTGATTTTTGCAAAAATTTCCAGTCACCACAAAAAGATGCTGAAATTTCCTGTACAAATTTATGGTCCTATGATGATGCCAGAAAAACAAGATTTTTAATCATAATTTCTAAGTTTCTAAAAAGATAAAAAGTTTTTGACATAGATCCTTTTCACTTCCAACTTAATAACACCAAGATTTTGATAATAAAATTGTTTTTATGCTTTGGGTATTTTTTTTTTGTCCTTTTTTCATGCTTTTAGTTTTTATTCTTTTTGTCCTTTTTCTTTGTTTTGCTCCTCCTTTCATTTTGCTTCCTTTCTTCTTCTGTTTTGCTTTTCTTCTCCCTTTTTCTTTTTTTTTTTTCTCATTTTCTTTTCTTTCTTTTTCTTAGTCGTAGTCATTATAAAAATCAATCTTTCTTTATCACCAAATCAGTCTGTTTTTGATGAAACAACATGTCAAGATTAAGACACAATAACAGCCACTTTATATGACAGCCACACGTGGGTTTTGACTAAACCTGAACATTATAATTGCTTTTTCGGTCACTTCTGATGTATCTGCATAACATTTAGTTTTGCATGAGAGAATATTAAAGAAAACACTCACCAGTTTGATGCATTTTAATAGAAACAGAGGCAATTATCATACAAAGCATATTGTTGTCCTTTTGCAATATAATGCCCATCATCTGCATTCTGATCAAAATTTCTTATGATTGAAAAAAAAAAATATTTATCTGCAATTTATATTTTCCTATTCACAGAAAACTTAGTTTTACATTTTATGATCCTTGGGGAATCTGTATTGTAAACATTTAGAGATAAATCCTTGGATTTTTGTTTTTATTTTTTTATTTTTTTTTATATGTGGAGATATCTAGCAATAACTTTTAAATAGTACATGTTTAAAGTTGTAATTTTTAACTTGTAGTTTCTGAAAGTATTTCCGTGTGATAATTTTTCTATTCTCTTGTCAACAAAACTCTATGATTCTGATTTCCACCCGACAGATGAGTATCAATTCATTTTTTAGTTAACAACCTTTCATTTTTTTTTTTTTTTTTAACTACTAAACCTCTCTTTCCAAGTAACCACTATTATTATTAACTTATTATATTTCTGCTTGACCCTCCCTTAGTTAGCACGGCCGTTACACCCTGCCATTACTTCATAACTAATGAACTATTATGCTTTGATTGTTTGGAAAGAGATGCTCCTTGGTTTCAGTGAGAAAATGAAAGAAAGAAAGAGGTGTTTAACATCTCCTGCCAGTACCTAATAAATAATGGACTATTCCATTTTGAAAGGCAAAAATTTGAAAGGCAAAATGACTAATAAATAATGGATATTCATTTTTTGAAAGCAAAAAGAGGCTACTTGGTTTCAGTGAGAAAATGAAAGAAAGAAAGAGGTGTTTAACATCTCCTGCCAGTACCTAATAAATAATGGACTATTCCATTTTGAAAGGCAAAAATGACATATCAGAGAGGCTACTTGGTTTCAGTGAGAAAATGAAAGAAAGAAGGGGAAGATAGAAGTGGTGATAACACTCTCATATGTTTAATATCTGTTTCAGTGAAATGAAAAAAAAGTTGTCATTTTCAGATCTTTTCATTTGTACACACTTACTTCTTAAAATAACAACCAGCATACATATTTATAATCGTGATTGCAATATTTTGTTAAAGTTGTTAAGCTCGAATATTTAACGATGTGATAAGGATTTTTTATAGATATTTTATTGTTGTAGAACTCTTATTCATTTATTAACGTAAAAGTTAAGATTCATTAAAAAATTCAAATAGGAAAACTGAAATTTTCATGTGTATTTCTATTATTATTATTATTATTATTATTATTATTATTATTACTTGTGTATGTTGTGTTTCCTGCTTTGTATTCTGTGGAGCCGGGTCCAAACTGTAGTTGTTAGTCCCTATAGCAGAACTGTCATTTAATTTATAGCACTTTTCTTAGTATAAGTGGTGTTCCTAGTAAGGCAACTTGTATGTTGATGTTACCTGCGACACTGTTAGTAAAATTGCCCATTTCTTTTTCTTACGAGGCCCAGAGCTCTGATTACTATTGCTCAGTCTTCTTTCCCCATATTATTATTATTATTATTATTCCTCCCAACTACTTCCTTCTGAATTGCTTCACTAGTTAATTACTCACCCCAAAACAAAATTTTTTTTTTTTTTTTTTTTTGCTGATAGTTCACCCAATACAAGGGTCAAAGGCCATTCAAGGTAGAGGGTTGCTGAGTGAGATTGTAAGGGAGTGGGATGTAGGAAGTGAGAGTGTATTTTCTTGATGAGTAGGATAGATTTTATTTGACCCTGGAGTTAAAGAGACCAAGATTGTAGTTGTCAGGGAAGCATTCTCTCGGGAGTTTGTTCCCCACCATAAGAATTCTGGGGAAGAAGCCATCTGATTGAATTTGCTTTTTATCAAAGCAACATGAAAGAAAAGAGGAGGGTTTACCACTATGAACACAGCATGTCGGGTCCTAGCTCAGGAGGTCCAAAGCTTGCGGCATCAAATGATGAAACTTGTCCAGACATCTGCCATAGTAATAGTGATATAATATTGAAAGGCTAACACTGTGGGATAAAGGTTGCAGGGTGGAGAATAATTCATCACCCACCAGGCTACATAAGCACTTTTGAAATCTGTCAAGACTGGACAGATTTGGATTGGGTAGACCAGTCAAGATATGGCAGTCGCCTTGTTTGATCATTTATAAAGATCAAGCATGGTAGCAGGAGTTTGGTATTTTCTGGATTAATACAATGAACCAAACATTCTTCCAGCATCTTTTGAGATGGCACCAACTATACGTATTACATTTGAGATTGGGACATGCTTCTTATTAGCATTATTATTTTCCTTATAATAATGAAAACTAGAATGGTTCAAAAATGTTTTTGATCATCAGAAGGCTATTTTTTTTCTATTTAATTTTTCCTTTTATTAAACCTATTTCTCTTTTGTTTCTTTTTCAGTCAACAGAAAGTGATCTATCACTAGATGATGAAGACATTGCTCCAAATCCCAATGTATCTTTTAATGAATTTATGCAGCAATACCGAGAACTGAATGACTGGCTCAGTCAGATTCAAGTGTTTACCCAGAGGAAAGTTATGAGTCGTTCTGAAAAATATCTGAACCAGGTAAGAAATACTTTTAAATTTTTTCAAAGGGAATTGTTTACTTAACCTTTACCACACTGAAAGTGAAAATTGTCACTGTAGAATTCTTTCACTTTTGGCTATTCTTTTAACAATTATCAAGGACAATTTTATTTTTAACTAAATATGTGGGTTTTTATGTATGAAATTATAGGAATGTTTTATTTTCTGAACATGGTCAGCACATTGTGGTTGTGTTCATAGTTATTGAGTGTCAGCTTTTTCTTTTTTTATTATTAGGGCTTCCGTTATTTTTAATCTTTTTTTTACATGTGGATAAGGCTATTATATTTTTATTTTCTACTGTTATGAACTTTAGTTAAAAATATAAAAAATAAAAATTGCCCTTGATACTGACTAAAAGAATAGACAAAAGCATTTGGATATGCAGAACTTTCGTACAATTTGTACACACTTTGTGTCTAAAAAAAAAAAAGAAAACACTTGTTCAAACAAGAAAAATTAAATAAAAAGCTTAATTGTAGTACCTTGTCAGTCATCTAAAAACACACACACACACACACATATATATATATATATATATATATATATATATATATATATATATATATATATATATATAATAAAAGAGATTTTTTATATATCAGAACAATGTTAGGCAAATGAATAACAAAGTTGGAAATATTCTGAAGGACTTCATCAAGCTAGAGTAATGTTTTTGTTGATAAAATTGGGTGGCGATGCGAGCATCAGTTACAATTATGTACAATGGTGAAATTTAAAATTTAAATTATTTTTCATCACACATTTGAACATGCAGTGTATATGATCTCATTCAGTTTTCACATTTTTTATATATACAGTGTAACCTGGATATAAGAGAGTTGTCGGGACCGAAGAAGAAGTCTCTTATATCCGGGTTTCTCTTATATCCGGGTTTGGTCTATTTTATATACATTAACACAGGCTCTAATTTGGGACCAGAGAAAATCTCTCTTATATCCTGGTTTCTCTTATATCCGGGTTACGCTATATATATATATATATATATATATATATATATATATATATAGAGAGGGGAAACTATTCTTAGCCAATGCATTTCATCCTCTGAGGGATTTTATCAAGGCAAATGTCTTGATAAAAAAAAGCCCCTCAGAGTACAAAATGTGTCAGCTAAGAATAGTTTTCCTCTTGTCATTTTACTTATTTTGTTCATTCATAGATAATTTCTATTTGAAAATAATATATATATATATATATATATATATATATATATATATATGGCTTACATTCATATGTTGAAACACTTGGTTCTCAACCAGTACTGAAAGAAACATTAAGCCTGATCTGTCTCTAGATAGGTGACTGCTAGGGAATACCAGGTGTTGTAAGCTTGAATGTGTGGTAATGGATCAGAATGAGAAACTGGAGAGTTAAGTTTACATTCTGGTCAAATTTGTTACAATCATTTACACACAAATGTTTTGGGGGAAAGGCATGAATCCACCTCTTCTCCTTCCAGATATGGATTAAATAGTATGACTTGTATCTGAAAATCTTCATTATCTCCCAAAATGTTTTAATACAATATTTACTTTGACAAAAAAAGACTTATTTTTATTTTATCAAAATAGGTTTCTGCTTTAAATAACCTGCAAAAGGTTGATAAGTCATAAAAAACAAATCAATCACACACACACACACACACACACACACACACACAGTTCAGTTTTAGAACTGAATTGCCAGACCACAGACACATAATTTAATGTCAGTGGTGAAGGCTTGTGTATAATCTGCCATCTTTTGGAGGGGGAGTGATACCAGTGAAATGCTGCACAGTATATTATGAAGTCTCCAAACAACCCTCCTCCATTTTCCTTCAGTCTACTCTGCTGCTTAACCCATAGCTGGAGAAAAATGGAAGTGCCTTTTCCAAATGCATTAGTGCAAAATGAGCAAAACTGGTAATTAAACTCATCTTGGTGATTGCACCAATAATCATTACCGTACCTGCATATCCACCATACGCACATTACTTATTAGTTTAACCATTAAAACTACTGACTTAATTTGTTCAACAAATGATTTATCAAGCCATATTACCACTTATCTTAAGTAAACCACTGTTTCCTTTTTATAATAATGTTTAGATTGACATGTCTATTGTTTTGCTCTGTCGGTATGGCATAGAATATGTCAACTGCATCTTCTGCAGAGGGGTAGCCCCACACCCCAAGGGCCACCTACCAAATATAAACAATGTATCCTTGAACCAAATAAATGCTT